GGTCAGCAGGGGAAGATGTCCAGAGGAGGGAGGGAATTGGCAGGATGCTCACAGGTGCTGGGAGGGTTACGTGGCAGTTAGTGGAACGTGCCCTGCATAGCCCCTAACCCCCAGCCCCCCGGAAATTGGGCTCTGCTCGTTCATGGTACGCGGAGCAGTGTCCACAGTGAGTGGGGGCACGGCCTCCTCCCCTGAGCTGGTTAGCCCAGGGCAGGCGCTCAGTCTAACTCGCTGTCCCTCCATCTGCACCGCCAGGTGACGAGACCCTGCAGCTACAGCCGGAAGTCCCACTTTGACTTTGAGGAGGAAGATGTGGACAAGCTTGAAATCCGGTGAGCAAGAGTCAGGGTTCCGAGATTCCTGCTCGGCCGCTGCATTCTGAACTTGCCTCTTCTGTCTGTTTTTTGTTTCGTTTCTAAAAATAGGGGATTGGAAAGAAAGGCATTTTAATGTTCTCGGTGATTTTAACACGAGGATGTCAGAAGTTGAAGTCAGTCATCATCATCCCAGATATTTGGGTGGTTGTGGCCGAAAGGACACTTCCTTTCCCAAGGGCCAAACTCGGTTTCGTAGTTCACTTTGCAGTATCTTCTAAGGGCCAAAGTTCAAAGGCTTTATGCTATTCAGTGTGTGCGAGGCTCTGTCTGCCAGGCGGCATCGCCTGGCCCAGCACACCGTTCCCTGCTGCTTAGGGATCCTCGTGACACAGCCTTCAGTGTGTAGAGTCTGTACTTGACACCCTAGAAGTCTGCAGCTTGAGTTCACCGGCATCAGTTTTAGAATCCACTCGGGGGCCTTCTTCCCGCCTGCTCTGGCTATAGGAAGTCCTGCCTGCCTGCAGCGCCTGTCCCAGCACAAGGTGCCCTGGGAGAGACAAATCATAAGCTGGGTGTACTTTCCTGTCATCATGGGCTAGGGTGACCACACTTAGGTCTGACTAGCTCTGTTCAGGAGAAGAGTAGGAATGCTCCTGATTTGATGTGATTTTAAAATCTACTTTCCTTTAGGGCCAGGGTTTTCTGAGGCATGTGAGGTGCGACTAGAAATACCACAGGCCTTCATTTAGGGGGCACTCTGGTGTCCTTGAACCTGCAGTGGCTTTCCCAGCCTCTGAGTCATGACCAAGCTATAGGGAGTCTCTGGGCCAGGTGGGAGCTGACCTTTGGGGTATGGGGAACCTTCCCTCTCCTAAGTGTGGGACCCTGGGGCCCTTTCCTTGTCTCTCTCCTGGGCTCAAATCCTGAGGGATTATGGCCTCCACTCACTGATTTTGGTTTGAGCCCAGTTTTAAGTGTTTCCATGTAGTTTAAATCTTCCACTTCCAAATACTGACACAGAGGCAGAATGACTCCAAGTCGAGAAGGTCCCCCCGGAGGCCCGCAGGACTTGTTTGAGGTTTGGCTGTGCACCACCTGCCTTCAGGCAGGCAGGTTCCCTTTCTTGTTCAGATAAAGAAGTGTTTATGAAAGACTGGGCTTCGAATTCAAGAGTGAAGTCCTACTTCTTTTTCTAAGCATACAAGCATAAAGTGTTTTTAAATGCTTCTCTTCTTAAAAAGAAAAGACTGCCTGGTGACTCGTTCATGTTTTGCTGAAGGGTGTTGCTTAGATTAAAGATTCTCTTGCTTGTTATTCTACAAGTGTCGTCTCACATGACAGTGGTCATGCTCATGTCCAGGCGTGTTCCTGCGGAGCATCCATTACCTGCTGTGAAGTCCACTGCTCCTGCTCAGACTTGCAGGGGAAACAGAAGGACTGCTGCAGTCTTCTAGAATTTTCCCCTGGTCTTAGGATTTTTCAGCTCATGGAATAACTGCTGGTTAAGTTGTTTGCTGTGGGTGTACACAGTGTTCACTAGTTAGTACCAGGGAATGTCGTCTACCTCCATCTGTCACACACGTACAGTCACCATGTCTCCAAATTGGAGGGAAGAGAGAGAATTCCACCCAGGAGAAAGGGTTTGTGAGTGATAGACTCTTTAGCGGGGTAAGCGTGAACTTTTCACAAAGATGGTGGTAAATTGTACTCTGCTTACTGCTGGCAGCCACCATCTCCCCTTCTCTGTCGGGAGTGTCAGGCCCCCTAGGTCGTGAATCCCACTGGTGGGTTGTAGGGATCTTGGGTGTAGGGTTCTGAGTGCAGGTGGAGAAAGAGGAGTTGGACACACAGTTTTTCTTTCCAGCTGTACTTTCATATGGTGGAAGGTAGGGGGCATCCTGGCCAGTCCCCTGTGGGCACCATTCTTGGCAACAGCCCAAGCAGAACTAGACTTCATTTATTCACTCCCCTGTGCTGAGCCTTGCAGACTGAGGTCACCCTGCTGGGTGCTCCTGCTATGTCTGAGACACGGCCCAACCCTGAGGGGACAATAGGTCTCACTACTCTTGGGCCTCTCCTAGGTAAAGGCAATGGACACTCCTGGCTGCAGTGCACAGCAGTCCCTCCTGTTCCATAGACAGGAGGCCCCTCACCCGACACCAGCCTGAGGGCTCTGCCTCTACCTCCTCTCTTTCCCCACAGCCCAGAAATTGCACATCTGCATTCGAGTCGGGTCCTGTCTGACCTCACATCTTAAATGTCCTCAGTCAGGGCAGATCTCCACAGACACTGACTCGGTGGAACCAAAGGCTCCATCTTGCACCAACCCTGTTGGGGAGAGAGAAAGAAAGCTGGCGTCAGCCTCTGCGCTTCCCTGAGTCACTCCTCAAGGGGCTCCATATGCTGATCATTGTTTTTCAGAATTGATCTCTGGAATGCCAGTAACTTGAAATTTGGAGACGAGTTCCTGGGAGAACTAAGGATTCCACTGAAGGTGCTGCGGCAGTCAAGCTCCTACGAAGCATGGTAAGGTGGCTGCGTGCCGGCCTGCCGGCCTCGAGCTGGCGGGTGGAGGGACAGAGTTAACAAGTCAAAAGGACACAAAGCTGCGTCTTTACAGCCCAAATGAAGTGGCACAAGTCAGCTTCCTATCTGGCCACCTACTCTTGTTTTGCTGTGGCCCTAACTAGCTCTGGCATGGTGACAGGTTCAGGTAAGAAATTGCAGGTGATCATGCTAACACCATAAGTGGTGGCTGAGAGCCTAACATAAAAGGATAGGGGCATGAAAGCCTTACAACTTTGAGAATAGGTTTTGGGCCTGCTCCCTGAGGGCAGATGGCTGCCACACCTCCGAGCAGCACTGTACCAGGCTCTACCCTGTGGCAGGCATTTGTAACCTTTGCCTGTCATCAGAAGTGTCACCTGATGAGAACGGTGTGCAAGGTGCTGTGAGTTTCAGGAAAATCTCCATTTCAGTCTGCACATCTAAATGGAGGGGTCCCAGCTCTGCCTCATCCCTCACTCACATATCCCAGAAGACTGAGGTTTTACCTCCCATGCCTTCATTTCTCGTTTTCTCTAGGCTACTTTGCATTTTAGCATAAAAACATGCCTTTGTTTTATTTCTTGTTTGGTTCATAAATCACATTGTATCACAGTGCATATCATCACAGTGAAGCCGCAGAAACTCCAGCCATGGGCTCTCTCACTTCATGCATCTCCTTTAACAGACACACAGAATGGAGAGAAGGTGTGGGTCACACACCACACATCACACCGCACACTGCACACCGTGGCCCTCACGTCTGCAGACTCACTGTGTGGGTAGATTTTGCGTTGTGCCCAGTGGCCGTTTCCTATCACCAGGAGACTGTGGAGTTCCTGTCTTTAATTCCACGAGGACAACTCCAGCACAGCCCCCAGCTGAGTTTGGTTCCTGCCAGGAGGCATTGCTTAGCTGAGCATCCCCTGGCCTTGTAACCAAAGATATGGCATTTGCCTGGCAGCCCAGTGGAAGCTCCACCCACATCGCATCTCTAACTACCTGGCCAGTAAATTCAGAGCAGTCAGGGTCCCCGCAGTGGCGCTGCACTGGGTAGGACCGAAAAGAAGAGAGTAGCCTCTGAGAAAACACTGCTGAAGTGGTTGTGTGCGCAGGGATCTGCTGAGCCCACCAGCACAAGCTCACCGTCCCCTCTAATGGTGAAAGCTCTACCACACGTTTCTTAGAATCCTTTTGGTTTTGCTCTACTTATTGCTAACCATTGTCGAGTGTTAATCTTTGCAGATAGTTACTTTACTACAGAACTTCCCTGAACCACTGCTCTCGCTTCCCCTCCTTCTCATCCTCTCCTTTCCTTCCACCCTTCCCACTTTCCCGTCATGATTCCTGTCTGTGGCTCTGTATAATCAGCCCCGAGAATAAACATCCTCTGGGGAACACCCCGGTGCATGGACCCTGCAGGGGGGTGTCCTACAGAATCGCCCTGGAGCCCCCTCCTGCTTCAGACATCGACATAGAGCCCTTGATGGGAGGGCCAGCCCCTGGGAAGTGCTGCCACCTCACACTGCCTTCTCCTGTGTCTTGTGCCCAGGTACTTCCTGCAGCCCCGAGACAACGGCAGCAAGAGCCTGAAGCCAGGGGATCTGGGGTCCCTGCGGTTGAATGTGGTTTACACAGAAGACCACGTCTTCTCCTCCGACTACTACAGCCCGCTCCGGGACCTTCTGCTGAAGTCTGCAGATGTGGAGGTACTCTTGTGCCTGGTGCACCTGGGGACCTCCACCCACCCCTGTCCCCTCTCTCCTGCAGGCCACTGCTGGACCCTCCTTTACCCAGACCCACTCCCTCTCTGGACCCTCCCGTGCCCCCTTCCCAGCTCTGCCTCCCCAACGTGTCCAGACCAGCCCCTGAATCCACTTTCTACCTCCTTGGTTCCCTTGGCCACCCTCAACGATCTGCCACCCCCACCCCTCTGCCCAGGCCCTGACCACCTGGGGCCCAGCACCCGGGCTGCCTGCTCCCTGTTGCTGACTTCCCCTGCGGCCTGACCCCCCTGGGCCTACTTTGTGTCTAGGAACATCTGAATCTCCCTTTGATGGATGAGGGGGTGTCATGGGTGGGTCTGGAACTTGCCCTTAGGTCATGCTGTGTCTCTCTGCAGCCCGTCTCAGCATCCACAGCTCACATCCTGGGCGAGGTGTGCAGAGAAAAGCAGGAGGCAGCCATCCCGCTGGTGCGGCTTTTCCTGCACTATGGCCGGGTGGTGCCCTTCATCAGTGCCATTGCCAACGCCGAGGTCCGGAGGACACAGTGAGTGCCACTGTGACCTCTGCCCGGGAACCCTCACACTTCCCCAAGGGGATCTGGCCTGGTGATGGGTTGGGGCTGGGGCTGGGGCCAGGGCTGGGGAAGGTTGGGGGACCTGGACAGCAGACGTCTCCCTCAAAACATATCAGAGCACAGGGATGGGGCAGAGAAACGAAACCGTACAGGTTCAGATTTTCTTTCAGTGTTTTTAAAAATGCACCTTTTATCCTGGAAATCCCAAGGGGCATGTGCAGGAAGGGGTGAATGCAGTATTGGCTGTTTTAGGAACAGACTCTTCAATGTTAAGAGCACATAAGAGGACTGGGCCACTGCGTCCTCCACGTGGAGATGAGTTCTACACTCCCTGATTCCTTGGGTTCAGAAATATCCAGGTGTACCCTTGTTGAAAAAGCTATAAAAAGCACAGCCAATTCTGTTTGCTTCCCTACCAGATCTCCTGTGCTGACCCCAGGTTTGGTCCTTAAAAATATTCGTTCATTTGTAAAAAACAAGCTTGAGGAAGGGAGGCACCATCAGCTCCCGTTCCTTCGAATGGGTTGATGGCAGGGGACATGTCTTTGGTGTGCTGAATCGCACTATTTTCTGAATAAGGCACACTGTGTGCAGTGGGTTTGTTACACAGGCAGGGCCAGGTCAGGAACTCTGCCGTGAAATGTCTGGCCTGGTCTCATGCTCCTAAAACCCCTGAGAGCGGACTCCTCAGGGTGAGTGTGTGTCTGCATCTGATGGACAGGCACTCAAGAACAGGTTCTGCTTCTTTCTCCACCTTGGCTGTACTGAGGAGACAGAAGTCACCCCTGATACTGATGCTGTTTTCCAGGGACCCCAACACCATTTTCCGAGGAAACTCGTTGACATCCAAGTGCATTGACGAGACGATGAAGCTGGCAGGAATGCACTATCTGCATGTCACCCTGAAGCCCACCATAGAAGAGGTGGGTCAGGGTCCCCAGGGCCCAGTGTTACTGGGGAGTGTGTGAAAGATTTCCTCAGGAGCCCACATGTCCGTGTGAAAGACAAGCAGACACATAGGGAATGCAGTGCAGCGGGACTCACCTGAATGAAGAGCTGTCACTTTAATGTCAGCTTCGTTCCCCAGCCTCATCACAAGGACCTTCCATGTGTATTTCAGAATCTTTCTTGTTTTCTCAAATTAAAAAAATACTTAAGAAAAGCCATTATTCTAAAGATGGAAGGCCATGCAAGAGAAAAACTGGGTCTTCAGGGGACACCTCTTTCCCCACAGGTTTGGTTCTCCCCAAATTCGCTACGCCTGAAGTTTTCTCTAGTGCCTCCTGCAGCTGTGGAGTCCCTCCCCTATTTTTCACTAGTTGCCAAACACATTCAAAGGAACCACACGCTTCCTTTCCAAATGACTCAGCGTTTCGTGCCTGACCCCTTAATGGGGCACCTGGGCAGGCAGCATTTCCCCCAGAGCAGTTTCATAAAAACAGGCCCTGTGCAATGCGAGAAAATTTAAAATAGCATTCTGTTTTGGCCTGGGTGCAAAATCCTGACAGTACTGTGAGGTAAAATCGTTAAGCTTTATGACACCTGATTCCACGGGAGATAATGCAGAGCCTTCTTCAAGAAAGTCCCATTCCTCACAGGACTTTGGGCTCACACGCTGCTCAGTGTCTTCAGCTGACATTCCTCCTCATGGCCACGCGGAAGGCTAGCTGTGGGCAGCTCTTTTCCTCACAATGTCCATCCCTGAGCCTGATCCTATTGACCTCCACCCCGCCTATGCTCCTGGGATCTGTCCCACTCACTCCTTGTTGTAAATGCTCTTTCCAGATATGCCAGAGCCACAAATCCTGTGAAATTGACCCTGTGAAGTTGAAAGATGGTGAAAACCTTGAAAACAACATGGTAAGGGGTTCCGGCTTGTTCATCAACACTCTGTCTTGAGGATTTTTGGCACATGGCCACCTTGGACACCCTGTGTTATGGTGGGGTGGGGTATGCTTTGTGAGTGCACCCACGGAAGCCTGAGGTGCATAAGCTGACTTTCACTGTGTCAAGTGACCAGTCCCGGTCAACGATTGGCCACCATATTTCTTTGCTCTTGATTTCTTTCATGCTGACTAGTATCTCTCCGTGGCCTGTCACTCAGCTCCTGCTCCTTCCCTTCCTGGGATAACCTGAGGCCTTCCCCCCCCCCGCCCCCC